CTCCAAGTAAAAGCAAACTGTGGCCTGCACTCTGCTGCCAAAGGAATTGAGAAAAATGCATTGGCAATATCAATCGTGGCATACCACTTGTCTGCCTTTGACTCTAGTTCATACTGAAGTTCTAGTGTGTCCGGTACGGCAGCACTCAATGGTGGTGTGACTTCATTCAGGCCACGATAGTCTACTGTTAGTCTCCATTCTCCATTAGACTTTCGCACTGGCCATATGGGGCTATTGAAGGGTGAGCGGGTCCTGCTGATCACCCCCTGACTCTCCAGTCTACGGATCAGCTGATGGATGGGAATCAGGGAGTCTCGGTTGGTGCGATATTGCCGCCGGTGCACTGTTGTGGTCGCAATTGGCACTTGTTGTTCTTCAACTTTCAGCAACCCCACAGCAGAGGGATCTTCTGAGAGACCAGGCAAGGTGGACAGCTGCTCAATTTCCTCAGCCTCCAAAGCAGCAATACCAAAAGCCCACCGGTACCCTTTTGGGTCTTTGAAGTACCCTCTCTTGAGGTAGTCTATGCCGAGGATGCATGGAGCCTCTGGACCAGTCACAATAGGGTGCTTTTGCCATTCCCTCCAAGTCAGGCTGATTTCAGCCTCCAGCACAGTCAACTCTTGGGATCCTCCTGTTACTCCAGAAATATAGATGGGTTCCACCCCTTGACAGCTTGATGGCATCAGGGTACACTGTGCACCGGTATCTACTAGAGCCTTATACTTCTGTGGGACTGATGTGCCAGGCCATCTGATCCACACAGTCCAGTAAATCCGATTGTCCCCTACCTCCACCTGGCTGGAGGCAGGGCCCCTCTAATGGTCGTCACAGCGTTGGACACTTAAGTCGTGGTGAAAGGGATTATTCTTCGTTATCACAGGAGCTGGAGTAAGATCAGCTCTTCCATTCCATCTGGGAAACTGCTCACCAGAGACTGAAGCCGTAGCTCTCATGGGACGATCAGTCTTGGCCCTTGCTCCCCTTTTCAATTCACTCACCCGTTCCTCCAAAGCTGAAGTAGGTTTTCCATCCCACTTTGTCATGTCTTCTCCGTGATCCAGCAGGTAAAACCATAGGGTACCCCGTGGCATATATCTCCTGTATCTCCTCTCTTGAACAATAGGACGCCTTTTGTTAATAGCTGAGACGTGTGTTGGTACACGTGAGGAGCTGGATAAATCAGATAGATTGTCCTTCAATTGTTCGATGTCCTGGGACAGTTTTTCCACAGCTGAGATGATGGAAGGGGTGAGATTGTCTTTGAACTCTCGGAGTTTATGAACCATTTCATCCACTGTTAGTGGTACTATGTCATTCCAGGTTACTGTTGCCAGTGAATGGGCATATGATGACGGTGCATTCCATGTAAGTTTTCGCCACATGGGTCGTGTACATTCAACTTCATCTGGATCTATGGGTGTATCCCCGTTATTCGGCTTGATGTGATAGATCATCTCTACGATGGCCGATTCCCTCAGAGACTGGATGCCTTTGTCTATAGTAGTCCACTTGGCCGAACGACTCCTAACATCGTCCTTGTATGGAAACCTTTCTTTCACAGCTGCCAAGAGCCGCCTCCAAAGGCTGAGGGACTTTTTCTCTCTTGCAATTGCTTTGTCAATTCCCCCTTCTCTAGCAAGTGATCCCAGCTGCTTGGCTTCTGTACCTTCTAGTTCGTGACCATCGGCCCCATTGTCCCAGCATCGGAGTAACCAGGTGATGATGTGCTCCCCTGGTTGACGGGTAAAATCTTTTCGCATATTCCGCAGCTCGGTTGAGGTCCGAGGTTGAGAAGTTACCTCTTCTTCTTCTTCTTCGTCATGTGATGATGACTCCTGATCAGATTCTGGACCGGGTGGTGAATTCATTGGTTCTTCATCTCTCTTCACCCTTTTTGCCTCCTTTTTGCTTGTTCTCTTGCGTACAGGGGCAACCGATATTGGTACGAATTGGTCCTCTGGTTTGGCTGCAGTGATTATCACTGTGGTTTGAGTAGCAACTGTACTTGTTGCTGGGGGTGGTGCAGCTGCTGTGCTTGGAGCTGGGGTAACCATGCTGTCTGTTGCAGTTGAAGTTTGAGCAGCTGCTGTACTTGCCACTGGGACAGCTGTGCTGTTCATTGCAGCCAAAGTTTGAGTAGCGACTGTTGCTTTGCCCTCAGATCCACCAACATTCTTTTCCTTTTGAAGGTGCTGGATAGTGTTGAACAAGGCCCTGTAAGCATAGGCCAAGCCCCAGCACGTTGCCATGATTTGTCCATCTCTGTATGGCCAGAATGACCACACACCTCATTTAAGTGTTTTACTAATTCTTCTGGATTTTGCAGTTGTTCCGTAGTGAAATTCCAAAGTACTGGAGGGGCCCACTGACCTAGATACTTGCCCATACTATCCCACACACCCTGCCACTCATGGCTGTCCAGCCTCAGGGAAAATCTCTTGGTCCTCCTACATCGTCGTTTGACCCCAGTCAAGACCCAAACCTGACTCTGCTTAACTCTTGAAATCAGTCGTGGGCAAAACACACCCTGTATGCGTGCTAGCATGGTGATTCCCATCGCCATCAGCAAACAAGTCTCAACAGCATTAAAAGGCCATTCAAAAAATTCAAAACTCTCAAATGTAAATGGTCTGGAGGGACGACTGGGAGGGTAAAAGGATGTCTCCTTCACAGGTTGAGCACCTGAGAAGGAGAAAAAGATGTGTAATTGCTAAGCACCTCCATCATATACCTCCCAAAGTATAAAGGTGGTGACCACACTGGGAACATAAGCCAGATCAGTTTCATGATCAATGATTCTATTGTATTACAAGTCATTACCATAAAGTACAATGGGACAAAAACCTTAGCCCAAGCCCCACACTTGAAAAACACTAATATCGCAAATACCGGATGGGAGTAAGATACGATATACTGAAACTGTGAGATCAAGAGGAACAACCTTGAGAGCCAATAAATCAGCATTGTGACGAGTGACTATCAATCCAGTCAGATCTGTTCTTATCTCAACCCCTCGTGCCCCACGTTGGGCGCCAAAAAGAACTCTCGTGGTTTAAACCCAGTCAGGTAGCTTGTTCACTCACTCCCAGTGAGTGGTGCCGAGCTGACAACAATCGAGGTCCGTGTCCCCCCCCCGCACCGGGGCTCTCCCGTTCCCCGCTCCCGGAGGAACGGCGAGGAGGATCGAAAGAGTGCAACTCCTACGGGTTGAGACAAGAACAGTCCAGCAACCAATGTACAACACAAATCACCACCGCTACCACCAACGACAGCAATGATAAGGAAAAATAACAAGGGAAGAGAATACGATACCACCGGCCAAGAAAACGAGTCCCACCCGGAAGCCCATGTCCTTCCAGGTAACTCCCAGTTACCCCCCACCCCGGGCATGACGTGCTGTGGTATGGAATACCTCCCTGGCCAGCCCAGGTCTGGCGCCCCGTCTCTGCGCCCTCAGAGCTTCCCCTCCTCCCTGGCAGAGCATGAGCCTCACAAAGTCCTTGGTCAGGGTAAACATCACTTAGCAACAACCGAAAACATCGGTATCACCAGCACTGTTCCCAGGCTGGAAGTCAAAACACAGCACTGCACCAGCTAACACGAAGGAGAAACATGACTGCTACTGCTGAACCCAGGACAACACCTTAAGCTTGTCTCATTGTAAATCTGTAGCCGCAACAAGAAGCTCCTGGCACAGGTCAAAGCCCCTGTCTTAGGTGCTGAACAAGCACAAGTTAAAATTAGCTGGTAATCCGAATAAGTAAATAAATAGGATATGTATGTGAAGTAAACCATAGGATGGGTGAGTATAGTAAAGCTAATCGACAGTTTATGTCAATTTATTTAAAATGTTTCGGGATTCTTCATAGAGAATATAAGATTTATGCTATACAAGTTAAGAATTAACTTTAAATTCATCCTTAAAAGAGAGAGAGACCAACAGGGAAGTACAATAAAAATCAAAGTATGTGGTAAAGGTCAAAGGTGAGAAAAACTGCCGAAGTAATGAATGTTTTGCATTCAAGGATAAAACTAATCACACAGTACAAGATCAGACTGGTTCAACTAACCACAGGGTCAACAAAATAAAGCTTTGGGCAAGATATTCTCTGTTCAGAAGTATCTATTTGCCATATTTATATCCATCTTTATATTAGAATTTAAAAGACCAGCTTTGCCCAAGACAGACTTTTGGTGCTGATTTTGTGCATGTTTAGGTTTTGACCTATAGGTGCTGCTTCATCATGTAAAAGCTAAAGTTTGCTCAACAGCTGGCCACTTGATAGTGTTCCTTGACACAGCTGCATCTTAGACCTTACGCATTTTCAGCATGAACATTCTTTTGTTTTGCTAAAAAAAAAATAGCAGAACTTCATGCTTTTAAGTAATACTTGTGATATGTTTTTTATTATCACACAATGATGTAGGATATACAGTCCCTTTGTCTGTCACCTGACAGTGCCATCTGTGCTAAAACCTACATTTTAAGGTGCTTCACATTCAGATCTGCCATTCTTGCAGGTAAAGCAGAAGCATCTTTGAAGCACTAATTAACTTCAAAGCCATGCTCAACAATTGCACAGTAAGACGATCTTCAGGTTTAATGTATGTCAGCACAGAAAATGAAAATGTGGGCTATAAAAACAATTCACTCATGAGGCATCCGTACTTATAGGAACTGAAATACAACCATTTGTGCCCAATATCCTACCATCTATGCCAAGCCTATAGATCCTTGACAGGATGAAATATTGCCCCTGTAAAGGCATCCTTAACATAATATGCCTCTTCAGCACTGGGCTGGACTAGGTTTGAAAAACAGCCTTTTATAATACACAGATGAATTTAGCACTTAAGAAGATTAATGGATTCATAAATAGCCTGGAAATCCAAACTCATTGAATTTAGTTCACAGAACAGGTCAAATAGGCATTTATCAAACCATCTGGCATTCTTCTTCCCTGGGGAAAATACAGATAGCTGAGGAGCCATTGCAACAGGGAGGGTTTGGTTTCCCTTGTACTCAGCCTTCCTCTAGAAATCTCTGGTGCTAATTAGAAAGCAGTAGATCTTTTTGGACAGAGTGCTGCAGACCAAGGCAGGCTGCCTCAAAGCATGTGTCTTGAAGCTGCTGGAGATGCCTCCTTTTTGCAGGCAAAACATCAGCTTCCCTGTTTCTTGCAGAAGCTGCTCCAGTAGGTCAGGAGCACACAGTCATTTTGCGTATGAGCTGATGCTGGTTTCTTCGCAGCTCTTTAACCAACCCTATGGTCTGTGGGACCATCCATAGAGTTGTTTACAAATGTGCTGGGGTGCCAGAGCTGCTTGAGGCCAAGGGCTGAACAGTGTGAACAGACCTGACCCAAGGCACCTTTGCTGAAGGGTTGAGCCCTTTTTGAAGAAGTTTATTCGTTCTCCCAGGCGATCCCAGATGTAAAAAGGCACAGGAGCTGCTAACAAAAGGTCTTCATGCAATAATTCATTACCCACCACTTTTCAGCTGTTCTATGCCCAAAGTCCATCCTCAGCTGATCTGTCCTTTGCATACATTTTTGGGTACTCGCCAGTGTGTGACTGAGGGAGGGGCCAGAGACAAAGACAGCTACTCTCAGTAGGTTTTAGCCGACGTGTTGTCCATACTGAACCATAGCCTTAGCAAAGCATGGGACAAGGTAGCTCCCACTCTGACACTGCTACTCCAGCACCCACAGGGACCAAACTGGGGCAAGAGTGGTCATATTCATGTTGAATTGGTCATGAAAGGAAGGGGTAGAGGTGAGTGGAAAAAAAGGGGGTAGGAAAATGTTTGATGGGGGGTTTAATTTATTTCCATTTTTATTCCTATTTCATGACATTTTAGCAGTAATAAAAGATTGTATATATTCTATCATTTCATATGAACATGTACATCATAGTATAAGCCATGTATAATGATTTGATACAGTTAAAATATCACAAAAGTGTATTTCTATATAGTCACTTATTTTTTAAAGTGTTACTACTTAACACAAATGTAAGTACTATCATGTTCTAAGTTAAAGTGTCTATTCTTTATGCTGCAATAAATAGTGTGCCATTTGCTCTACACCATAAAAAGGACATTCATGTGTGTTAATTTGAGTAGCCTATAAAAAAACTGCCAGAATAATTCAAGGATCTCAAAAATAAAAAGGGGGGGATGAGCAGTTAATTTATTTTTGTGAGCAAAATATCAAAGTATTTTATTAATGTACTTTGACACATAAAGCATGATAATTATTTCTGATCATATTAGCAGCTTTCATCAAAGATTTCAAAGAAAAAAACATGTTAGATGCCATATGGATGAGGCTTTGAGCAACCTGGTCTAGTGTGAGCTGTCCCTGCCCATAACAGGGGGATTGGAGAACTAGATCATAGAATCATAGAGTAGTTAGGGTTGGAAAAGACCTTAAGATCATCTAGTTCCAATCCCCCTGTCATGGGCAGGGACACCTCACACTAAACTATGTCACCCAAGGTCCCTTCCAACCCAAACCATTCTATGATTCTATGATTCTATGAAAGAAAATGATGGCATAGTTGGTTGTACAGCATAATATGACATGCTATATGGTACACGTTAGTGGTGGAAATACAAAATATGTAGCAGGGCGTGGATGCATTTGTCATTGCAATGTTCTGCCCCTCCCTTCATGCCATGAAATAATCTACAAATAAAACATAAAAAAAGTATATTGTTCCTTGAAACAATATACTGAGAAGTAAAACCACATTGAAACAATGTTAGTAAGTAAGCTGTTCAGTTTAAATAGCTTTTCCCCAGAGAAGTATGTGCCCCGTCCCAGCCCTGCCTGGGGCAGGCGCCATCCCCAGATGCTGTTCTCTTGTTCACAAGGGCTAGTGTTGCATCCCTGGATGCTCCTCAAGACAGCCCTGTTCCCCCCACACATGCTGGTGGAAATCAGTTTGCCAGCATCTAGAAGCATCCACTGTGGGTGTGGGTGTCTGTCAGGATATGAAGGGGGGGGGGCTTTTGATGCCTTGTCTTGCTCTTATAAAGCAGACAGTTTGGTCAACTGGAGTTGGCCCAGCAGAATAGAGAGTACCGCACTGCCATCCATACAGACTGCTCTTCCCTCTGCTCCCAGCAGGAGCCATTGCATCTCTCTAAGTGAAACTCAACCTTACAGTTATCCTTTCATTGCTCATCTTCCATACAGCAGTGTGAGTGGGCGGCACTAAGAACCCACAGGACAGGTTTATCACCTGGAGTGTGACCCAGCCTTGAAACAGATCCCACTAGCTCCCAGGAGAATCAGGAGCCAGATCCAACCAACCCAACATGGGAGAGTTTGGATCCAGTTATGTATTGGAGGCTCATAATACAAACTTTTCCCTGATGACTTGAGTAGGTACAGGAACGCTTATGCAGGACCCATGCTTCATGTAGCCCTTGGACTATTTGCATTGCCAAACAATCACTGTAAAAAGGGCTGGAAGGTAAAAAGAGAAGGAGACGACCTCCCTTCTGTCTTTCCCCACCCCAGAAGAAACCCCATCAGTCAGTCCACCCAGCTGTGTGGTGTTACTGTAGACTTCAGTGGTATTTGCCACCTCTTCAGAAAGGCCCATCTGGAGCAAGAGTTTGGAGATAAGGCTGTTGAACTTGCTGTCTGTGGTAGACCAAGGCTCTTCACTTGGGGTCGGGCCTTCAGATGTGACATTTAGCTCAGCCGGGTCAAGACAGTAACCTTCTGGAGATCTCTCATAGAGCACGTCCATTAGGTCAATCCCAGCTACTGAGGAGGGGGAGGCACAGGGAATATCCCTGACAAGCCTGTAATTCTCCATCCACTCCTTCAGCCACTCGATGCGGCAGTCACACTCCCAGGGGTTGCGGAAGAGGTACAGTCGCCCAAGGAAGTACACTGGCTGGAAGACCGAAAAGGGCAGGGTTGTCAGGTTGTTGCTGTTCAAGTGCAACGCAACCAGGCTGGTGAGGTTTTCAAAAGCCCCATCCTCAATGTAGTTGATCCTGTTACGATCCAGGTAGAGTACCTCCAGCTGCCCCAGGTCCCTGAACCAGGTGTTGGAAATGTTCCTAAGAAAATTCCCCCCTAGGTTGAGCATCTTCAGGCACCTGAGGCCATCAAAGGAGTTTTCTGGAAGCTCGCTGATCAAATTGTCATTCAGATACAGGTATTCCATCTTCTGGCAGCCCTGAAAAGCTCGCTCATGAACTACATTTATCTTGTTGTCCTGCAGATTCAGGTATTTCAGTTTGGTCAGGCCCTGCAGGGAGTTATAGGCTACCGCTTCAATCCTGTTTCTCTCCAGGTAAACATGGGTCAGGTTCTCCATGCCCCTGATGGCACCTGGGATCCTCCGGAAGTTGTTCTGGAAGCAGAAGAGCTCCTGTAGAGCAGGCAACTCAATGAAGATCCTGTCAGGGATGTTGAAAAGGTTGCAGTCCGCCAGGTCCAGCTTCACCAGCCTTTTGAGGGCAGTGAAAGTCCGCGTGTGGAGATAGCGAATGTACTCATTGTGGGCCATCTTCAGCTCAGTCAAGCTGGGCAGCCCCTTGAAAGCTCCTGGGGTGATGAAGGAGATATTGTTGTGATTGAGGGACAGGGACTTGAGGGAAGGCAAGGTCCCAAAGGCCCTCTCAGAGAGGAACTTGATGCTGTTTTTATCCAGGTTGATAGAGGAGGCTTCACAAGGGAACTGGGTAGGGATCTGCCCCAGACCGACACGATCGCAGAGGACGGAGCAGCTCCGCTCTTGAGTGCACACGCAGTTGGCAGGGCAGGACCGCACACAGGCCCACACCGCATGGACGTGGGGTACCCAAAGGATCACTGTCAGGGAGGAACATGCCATCCCCATGGAGGGATGGGAGGAGAGAATCAGGATGCAAATATATTAGTCATAACAGGAAAAAAAAAATATGCTATCTTTGCCTCCCTTCTAGCCAGGATAATTCTCACCCTCAGTGCTGACCAGGAAGTTCTCGTGAAAGATTCCTGAAAATCTGCTGGGTTTTTAAACCTTCTAAGGTGTGTGTGTGTGTGTGTGTGTGTGTGTGTGTGTGTGTCACACATCATCTAGAATATCATCCCTCATTAATTTCTCTCCCCAAGAGGTGGACACACCTAGATCTCAGTGTCTCTGTGGTTGGTCTCTCTGCAAGCTGATGGGGACATGGTTTGGCCAGGGAGCAGGCAGAGATGCTTTGAAGGTCAGAAGCTGTGTATGGGTTGCAGTATTTCTGGGTGGGGAAGAGGGGAGGACAGTCTATGCTAGTCTGGCAGTGGGCTGGGGTGATAAGTTAGTTGCTTGGGGCATGTCAAATTCATGCCTTTTGATTCTTTCTTTTCTTGTTCATTCAACCTAACATTTCTCCACCAGAGCCAGGAGCTGGTATGGCACTGCAAGGGGAAATACCAGCTCTCAAGGATGCAGTACAGTGTTTAAAAATACATTCCCGCTGTGTATTGGTAGAACAGCATGAGGAAAAACAAGTTTACAGACATTGTTCAACTGCTTTCTTCATGATGAGGTACTTTGGACCTCCAGCAGTTTTTATTGATTTGCCAGTTCTTGAGACAGTCACCATAGTACCTCAGGCTTGATGGGAGCAGATGCTTTATCCTTTTACCAGCCTGACATGGGACGTGTGTGGCTACTGTGGTTTCTTTTCAAGTTAGTCCCATGCAAGTGGATGTACAATGAAAAAGAGAAGGAGAAAACTCTTGGGGAGAAATCAGAGAAGGATGAAAGGAATGGGAAACATCATCCCCCGTGGACAGGCATTTTTGTGGGGAAAAAACACCCTGTCAGCCAGGCATCTGCAAAATAAACTCATTAGAAAGGAAGAACTGAAGGCAGAGCTCATTTTGTTATTGCTCTCATAGGCACATCCCACCTGCTGCTCAACAAAATGAACAGCCACACCATCAGATTCTCCAGGTAGTCACTAGCAGGAAATGGTGGTATTGCTACTGCCTGGTTTTTCTGCTGAAGTTCATCAGCACCCACACAAGTATAATCCTTTTATACTTTTTTCAGCAAGACATGAGATACCAACAGTTTTACCAACAGCCACTTTATTGCAGCACTGCTGGGATCACATTGCTGCCGCTATGTGCATATCTGGCCCCAGGGGCCAAGGGACAGGCTTTCCCCCACACTCCTGCTGACTGGAGAGGGAACCTTCCAGCAGCTGGGCTGCTTCTCACTGCCAGTTTGCTGCACAATAATTGCCCATTACAGCTGTATTCCCAATAGGCATTTTTATTAAGATAGACATGTGAGGTGATATGCCGGGAAGCATCAGCTTCAGCAAGCATAAAGCTTTTATTTTTGCAGCCCCTAAGGCTTTAATGTACAGACCAACCTGCTGTTTGAACTGCAGTAACTCTGCCCTTTCTCCATTCTGTCTGAAGGCAACATGCACGAAACTATGTTTGACTTTATGCTACCTGTTACTTCTTTAGGGAGTCTTGCAAAACCAGATACTAGGCAGGTCCCCACTAATAGGACATCAACCCAGGAGCTGCCTAGCCTGGTTCTGTTCAAACTAACCTGGCCATTGCATGTAGAAGAGGGATTTAGATACATGGAGTGAGCATTCCAGAAGGAAGCTGTAGGTTCTATTGAAATTCAGGTCCCATCAAGCCTCACCACGCTATTGTGACCTGAGTATTAGCAAAACAGCATCACCTCAAGGATATATGATAGTGAAGGACTCTGGGGGGTGGAAAGGATTTTAGACAGGCTGTCATTTTGTTTGTTTTTATGCTCTTCTCCCTTTTCCTGAGCTCTTATCTACCAGGCACAGCTAACGGAAAGTCTCCTTCAGTCAAGGCTCTGAGCAGACATGTGAAGAGCCTGAGGACTGGAGAGCAGACAACACACTGGCCTCATGCTGCTCTTGCTTCGTGCAGGTTGCCCAGGGGATGCCTCCTTTGCTACCCTATGCATCAGTCTACGCTGTTGCTTGCAAACAGGGGCACTTGTTGTTTTTGCTAAGCCGTTACATAAACTGAAGGGCAGACAGATTAAGGATTTGCCTGTTCCCAAATGCCTAACCACAGGTGACTGTTTGGAAAATGATGGATGCAAGTGTTGCTGCTGGAATGAGAGCCTTGTGTGGGCTCAGGGTGACATCCAGAGGGACATATGTGCATAGGCAGTCCTCTATGTGAGCCTGTCCCAAACAAGCTCAATGTTCAGCTACAGCTACCCCAAGCTCAGACACATCTCTGACCTTCAAAGCAGACCTCCCCTAGCAGCTGTGTACACTGTGTGCAGTGTAAGAACGAGCATGCTGATAATGAAATCCACTCCCTGATTGTCCTTTAATCACTTGATAAAGGAAATGTCTGTACTCAAGCCATATCCAGCCTGTTTTCTTTATACATGAAAGATTTTTCTAAGGCCAAATCTGGGCCTTCTGATAGTGGCATTTCACAGCACACTTCTAAGATCTCTATTTACAAGCGTATCTGTTTACATGGAAAACAAGCACTCAAGGACCATCCAGTGATGAAACATCCCCTTGGAAGTAAGAGCCCCTCAGCACCACAGCCTTTGTGGCAATTTTCCCTCTTTCTCTTGCAAAGGAAGTCAGAAAAAATCCTCCATCTGAACCTCACCAAACCCTCTGGAGAGCTGCTGCTCAGAGCACAGGAGATCACATCTCCTTTGTTGGCCAGATCTCCTCTGACCAGCATAGCTGGAAACATTCCCACCTCTTCCTCTTTACCCCTTCCCCAAAAAGGATGTTCTTTGGTTTTAACACTGTGGTAGCAGACAGGGCAGCAGCTGGAAGATGCCTCCAACTTACTGACACAGAGGGTCTCAAATGAGATGTGTGTTTAAGGAAAAGGGTGAAATACAGCAGTAAGGGAAAAATATTCGATGAAGGCATAAACAACATTCCACCCAGGGATGATCTCTTTTGCTCTTTTAAATACTATGGTAATTCAGTATTTGGAAAGAAAAGTGAGCGACCAAAAAAATGTTTGCAGAGTTTTTAGAAGGGTAAAGAAACAATGATTGCAATAAGTGAGCATTTACCCTACATCTTTCCAAACGACCTGTCTAATCCGTTACTAGGTAATGCCAAATAAGAGTATACTCACCATTTAAAATGATGGCAAACATTACCTTGATTATTCACTAGTGGCATTTCAGGTCTGGAAAGCAAACTTGAAGGATCTAGAAACACACAAGAAGAGCAAATCCAGGTTTCATCCTCTCTCATTTCCCTGCATCATTTTCCCACAATGAGATCTATGTTTAGGAAGGAAGATGATGGGAAAAGCTCCTCTCCCACACACAGTCAAACTGAAGAAGTCCCCAGCACCTTCCTGATGAGTATCTTTCTTCCACCACTGACCTTCTCAGGGAATCCTGCAGCTCTGTAAAACTCCTTTTCAGGTCCTCATCTGCATCCTTTTCACCAGCGGTTCCAAAGGCAGGCTCCTATCATCAGAGATGGGAAAAGATCAGCAACAGTAAGAGACTGGCCATGTCCCCAGGAAATAGGTGCTGGTGCCGAGGACATAACCAGCTTATCATCAAAAACTTGAAACTAAAATTCCCAGCAGAAGTCATTTGGATGCATTGCTTACCTAGCCAGGCAGTGGTTGTGCTCTCCCTCCTGCTCATGAGGCTGCCATTAGCCATACGACTCAGTCTCTGAAAAGTTGGCATTTTTTTTTCTCACAAGCTATCATTTAATGGCAGGAAAATCCTCTGTATCAGAGGGAGATTAGCGGAGATAGAAGAATGTGTCTGTCCTCTAAAGCTCCCAAAGCAAAACAGGGATTGCAGACAAAACCAAACTGATGCTTTCTCCCCTCTGCCAACCTCCTCTCCCCACCCCACCGTTAAAAAAAAAAAAGATAAAATACAGTCCAGAATTGGACTGCTGCCATTCAAACAGCATTGCTGAAAGTATTACTGCACTCCCCATTATGTAATGGTACAGGAGGGTGCAGCCCAAATGGGATTATAACTGGAGGCAAGTGCAGGCTTATGGTTTCCCTTCACTGAACTCTCCAGACACAGCTTTGGTCTCTTTCCCCATACACACTTTCCCAGCCCCAGTGTGGCTCTCATGCTGGTAACAGAATACCAGTATGCTTTGCTTCGCTGGGAGTTGCTCCTGAAGGACAAAGAGTTGCCAACAGCAACAGAAGGGTCAGCAAACACAACACGGGAAGCTTGTGTGGTGGTGTATATGGCCCTGATAATAATGTACTCTGCCCTGTCTATGAGTGTGCTTTGATTGCAGTGCTGCAGCTGGTGTGTGGAAATCATAAGGACAGGTTCTGTATGTGGTGATGTTTTAGCATTCAGGATGTGAATTGGCTTTTAAAGACTTTTCTGACAGAATGATGATGGTTTCTTTGGAAAGTGGGGGCTGGATGAGTTATCTCAGCCTCCCATGCCTTAGGTAATTGCATTCACCATGTCAGAGGAAAAAAATAGCTCTACTCTTTATTTCTAAGTGAGTTATTCTGCTCTTTTTTTTTTTCTTTCCAGGAAATGGAATACCTGATGAATTTATGCTTGATACAGAAGGAAAGATTCAGCTGGGAACCAGCCTGCTGCTGCTCAGCTCTACCTGCAGATAAAAGCACCCAGCTACATCAGGTTTGACTTGCTTTGGTTTTTCCTCAGTCTTCAGACATCTGTCTGGCAGCTCAGGAAATCTGTGTCCATCTAAACAGCAGGTGAGCAGGCTGGTGCTGGGGACAGGCTGGAGGGCAGGGGTTGACCCATATAGCACTGATTTTATCTGAAGGACACCTTTCTCCACCACCCTGTTATACCAACCCCCCAGCCTTGCGCTTCTGTGTTTTGCACCACGCTGCTTTGCACAGAGGAGGAAAGAGATTTGCAAAGCCACACACAGGCATGTTGCTGCTTCCACCATGGAGCTGAAGCTTCTGGAGCAGACAACAGAGGGGGGCAGAAGTAGGACTGTCTGGTGATCACCAGTCTTGGGGCAGCTCATGTTCCCCTGAAGGTCCTGGTTCCCATGGGAATACTGGGAAGCCACAACCTGTCTGATCACAGAAAGCTTATCAGTGACCTTTGGTCCATGAAGAAAACTAGAGGGGAGGAGGTGAAACTGTTTCCCCAACATTTGCCAGAGCCCTGGCAGTGGTACCATAAATTTTGTCTCTCCCCAGGTGCACAAGGTGGAGGCAGTCAGCAAGGATGGTAAGTGGGACTCAGGGACAATTTGGCATGTGATCAGTCAGCATCAACCAAGGGACTAGACCTGCTGTTTCATTCACACAGCAGTACTAAATCTGCTCATCAGAAGCAAGAAGGGGCTGATCTGCACCAAGACACCTGATTTCTGCTGAGACTGTGGGGCTCTGCTGTGCCTAACTGCTCTTCTATGAGCAAAGTAAGGGAATGGTGGGGATGGGACATGAAGAGCCACTGAGCCCCAGAAAATGTGCTGCAGAGCTACCTCCTCCAGGGGGGCAGCTTGTGGGACCTGACAAAACACATCCCCTTAAGGAGAGCACTGGAAACCTCTGCTATGTACAACAGGTGAGAGGGGACACTGGTGGGACAGGCACTGGGGGGGCTTGTTAAACTGTATGCACCTCTGCAGTCACTTTGGGAGTGGGGCTACAGTGACAGTAGCTGCCTGTTGCTAAATGAGCAGCTGTGGTGCTGTTAGCAATGCTGATGAAGCTGGCTCCTGCTGAAGCCACAGGAAGGTGGGCAGGGAACACCTCTCAGAGAGTTACTGCAACAGGCAGCCTCACCGCAGACCAGTACAGATATAATTAGCTCCTGCAGGAGCTTCTGAGCAGCTCTGCCATCCACATCCCACATCCATAGCTCAGTGGCTGCAGCTGGCCTGGCAAATGAGCCTGGCTACCCTCCAGTCTTTTCTACTGCTGTCTGGAGGTAGGAAAGGCTGAAACAGCCCATGTCCTGCCCCATCATGAGCCCTCCTCAGCCAGCCTCTGCTCCAGGCATACCTGGAGCTCCTGACTGGCCAGCAGCAGCAGCTGTAAGGCTTTCAGCAATGTATCTCTGTGCATCACCTATGGGCAGGATCCTCATGTACCTTCAGACCACAGCACAGAGAGATGAAGCTTTCAGCATATGCACTGGGGAGGAGGGGGGAAGTCTGGAGGGGCTGGTGGTCATACACACTGAGGTCACACTTTCTGGGTCGGGGATCACCACCCTTCAAGCGGCTTCAGCAGAGTGCTTCAGGAGCACCAAGCTCACCATTCACTGTCTCCCATGAACTTCTGCCAGCTCTTGCAGCTCCTGATTCGTTTCCTGATAACCCTTCATTCTGAAAGGGTATGACCACATGAGAAATGCCTGGTAAGGAGAAGTTTCTAGTCTTCTTAAGTAGAAAAACTTATCTCCCAGATGGTGCATAAAGACCAGCATTTATTCTTAAAAATACAAACTTGGGCCTTAAACCACACCTCAGCATTTTTAGAACATGACTCACAGCTGGTTAATGCTGAGGTTTGAGCATAATGCACATGCTCAGTGCTGGGAAGCTGTTGTGGCTGCCAGGCTGGAAGTAGACTCAGAAGATACAGACCTGGCTGCTGTGGCTCTGAGCTGTTATTTTTTTGGCCACCAAGGGCTCTTCCTCATGACCTGTCCTGCCCTTTTTAATCTCTGGGAACTCAGAGAAGCCAGAGGTTAACATAGCAGCGAATCTGAGCTCAGCAGCAGGGCTATGCTGCTACTGGAAAATAAATAAATAAATAAATTAGATGTTTATATCTGATCTTCCACCTAAAGAATTTGGAGAATTCAACCCTGACCAGAGGAACCTGCTCTGCTCCAGCAGTGCAGGCTGGAGACATAATCCTTGGCATGGCTTCATGAGCTGGCAGTGAGGACAAGCCTGCCTTGCAGGGCAAGCCTGTGCAAACTCCGTGCAAGATTGCTTCTAACAACCCATTTCTTCATGGACAGGGGCATTTCAGGTGACAGTTGGTTAGGAATGTGAACACTGATAGTATTTAAAATGATCGCTGGGGACCACTTCTTGCAGTGGGTCGGCTGTATAATAATATATTCCCTTTATTTTCAAAGGCTGGCTAAAAGATGGTGGGACTCATCTCACCTAACTCAGGGTGAAAGAGGTCTCATCTCACCTACTTCAGACACCTACCTGTGGGCACCATAATGCGCCTCAGGAGGGCCCATTTTCTCTGACAGAAGATGACAAGACAGCTGGGGGCATGCAGCTTTGAGGACACCTTCACACCACTAAACATCAGCATTGGGTTAGCTGGATCCCAAGTATTGCACATCTGGGTGCTTCCAGCCAGATGCTGCCCTCCTCAGAGCAGTGAAGAGGCAGAGCGGCTTGCCTGACTCCAGTGGCTGAAAATCTTCACTCCCCTGTTTTTATCTCTAATAGCTGTGCTTGCATTCATGGGACAATTGACAGGGGGTGAGGTCCCTGCACCACAGGGCACCTGAGCCCCTCCACCTGACCCAGGCTTTGGTTTCCTGAGCTTCTGTAATAGTGGCCGCAGCTCGGTGCATAATTCCCCTCTTCTCACAGCAACAGCTGTCTCACATGTCTGAGCCTTTCCTGTGCATGTAATGGCTGGGGTGACCTTTGAAGTCGCTGCCTCAGCGTTTCTCAACAGGACTTCTGTTGTCAGCTCTTCCCCATGGGACTTGGGCTGCGTGTAGGGTGGTCACCCAGCCAGCTGCCCCGCTGCACACACTGCTCCGGATGCTGTAGGTTTGGGGCAGTGAGAAAATGTCCTCTGCACCGGGAGCTGCTGTGCTGTGAGCAGACGGGACGGACCAGCACGGCCATGCTGGGGTTTGCAACTTCAGCACAGCCTGTGCCGCCGCCAGAAATAGTGCTTGGTACACACGTATGTTGCTGCTTCCAGGAGACGCAGAAGCAGCTGAGGAGCCAAACAGAACTTCAAGAGCAAAGAGCTGAGAGCCTTTCCCGTGCTTAGAAGAGAAGACAGCTTTTCTTCTGCAGGCAGGGGTTTGGGTTTTGCCTGGACTGAGGGCCCCATGCTTTGCTCAGGCATTAAAGTCGAGGACTTTGAGAGTACCTGTAGGTGTTACATGGGGGGATCTCCCCTGGGTGCTTCCCCACTCCTGCCCAAGGCTCTGGGGGTCCCAGCCCAGGGTCATCAGTCACTACCCAGCCTGGATGCTGCAGATTGCATGTTGTCGCTAGCTCTCTGAGCCGTGTTAGAGCCCCTCAGGCCTTCTGTTTGCCTCACCCCCGCTGGAGAAGATACACCTCAAGACACCCCTTGGAAGAGTTGCTGTGGTGCTGCAACAATGCCCTCCCCGTGTATCCTCAGCAAGGAGGGCTGCCACCAGCGACAGTGAGTCTGGGCTGTCAAAATGGCTCCTGCCCGTCAGAAATAAACCCATCTCACCCCAGAGACTGATAACTGGCAGCTAATCCCCTTCAGCAGCCTCTGCCAAGTGTCTGGGTTTGTTCTGCTGGGTACACATAAAACTGCCTGGGCCTTGACCAGCTTCCCTCGCAAGACACAACAGACCAAAGAACAGCCCATAGCCTGGTTTCACCTTCACCGAGCTGGCCTGGGTTTGTGTGGTAAATGCTGCAGCCCTGCAGCCTTTTCACACCAGCAGCGGCCCCGCTTTCCCTTTTACCCCAAGCCGTGTCTCCCTGGCAGTGCAGCATGCACACACGCTGCCCAGCAGTGGGCTGCCATCACTTGGTCTAAGTGGGGACAGTTTGCTGACATACCCACCCATGGGCAGCATGGACAGTGCTGGTCATGTCAGGATGCACAAACCCAGACCAAGGGAAAAACAGCCCAGCAGCTGCCTCACAGGCAGCTACCTGCAGGAGTAACTCTGGGGGACTCCACCACCTGGTCCATAGCAGGAGGAAGCAGGAACAAGACAAGGGGGCCAACAGCAGCACCTGGCAAAAAATAGCCACCAAAAAGCCGCTTATCCAAGGAGAGGGTAAAGAAGTGAAGCCAATGAAGCAGCAGAAAAAGGAAAGGGTCAAGCACTAGATCTGAAGCCCCAGGCCAGATGCTGCATGACGGCCAAGCCCTGCAGCAGGAGCAGAAGCCCAGGAGCCTGCAGCTGTAGCAGGAGCATCTTCTGAAAGGGAACAGCACACTCTAGGGTAGGGAGGCTGAAGCAGATGCGGTACACACCAAAGAACATGCTAGTGTATTATGCCTGTCAACATAAACTTCTGTTCGTAGCTTAGACATCACACAGACCCCATGCAAAGGGAACAAGGAGCCCAGGGGATGGAGTATATCTCCATGAGGGTAAAATCTTCCAGCTTGCCTGGTGAGGGCAAGACAAAAGACCCTGTCTGAGGCTGTCCAAGCCACTGGCTTTTACCCCAGCTCTCCCAGCCCACCCTGCAGATGTGGTTTCATGTCTCACTTGTGCTAATCAGTAACATTTCCAGTGAGAAGGAAGCAAGCATGGGCTGCTGTGCTGTGAGGAGCTGGGCATTTGCCATTGGAGTAAGTTCCTGCTTCCCATTGCAATACATGTGTATGGATGCAGTGCTGAAAAACATTGTTGGGGTTATCAGGTGACTCCCCACAATACTCAGAATAGCCCTGGGGAAGGAGAGGGAAGCTGGCCTGAGATTTAACTAAAGCTGAAGAGGAACTTGAATACATCCCTCACATCTGCGCTGTGACTTGGCCTTAACTAAAACTGTCCAGCCACACTCAGGCACCTTGTTTCAGGGACAAACCGCTGCTGGGAAAGCCTGAACAGGGGCTGCATCACACATTTTTCTCTGCAGGGTTTGGGGAGTCCTGCCCTCACCTCTGCCTTTGAGCAGCCCTCAGCTTAGTGTGCTGCACTGCATCACCACTGGTACTCGGTGTGCAGCCAAGCAGGCAGCTGCTGCTCGCATGTCACCCTCACAGACAGGGAAACACAAAGGTGGCAGCACCTGTACCAGCCAGACTGCCCTCCCTGCTGAAGCTGGTCCAACAGTGCTGGTGGTGTGGGCATGCACAGCAGGGGAGCCCTGGGATGGTTCAGCCTCATGCCACTTTTTACTAGCAGCTGGGGAGCTGCTCTGCCCTGGCCCTTTGCATCTGCAGGGTCATTTCTATCCTGTGTAAGAAACAGCTGCTTGTCTCCTGCGTAAGTCCTCATGCTGTGCTTTCTGCAGTCTGTTACCCAAGGCAGTGACTACCTGCAGTTCCATGTTACCTAATGGAAAGGCTGGGCAGTACATACATGAAGGCAGGGACACATCACATGAGCTCCACTTAATTCCCCCTTACTGGCTAGTGAGTCCATTGATCTTAATAAAGCTGCCTCCACAGCCATGTATGAACTTAAACACAGCACTGCAGTCGCCTTTTGAAATAG